GTAGAGAGAGAAAATCGAGGCAGCGAGAGAAATTCGCGGTGGAAAAAGTACGTCGTGAAAATGAATTTAAAAATACAATCGCCGAGGTTGCTCGAAAGAGAAAACGTGGCAACCGCATGAACAAAGGTGTAGACGTGCTCCGGTAAACGCTAGAATCTCCGTGTGGCTGCCACTTGAAAGTTGGAGGGCGGTGATTGGGCGCGGCCCCAGTCTCGAGCACCCTATATTAAATTATTATTCATTATCTCGGCTCGCCGCAGCCTCGCGTCCTTTTTAGACAGCAATTTCAGCCGCTACTCCCGCGGCGACATCTCGGAAGAACGCTAAGCCATGTCGCTTTTGCCACGAAAGCAGCTGCAAAGGGTAAAAAAGGGGCAGACATTTAACGAGGACTCTGCGTCGGTGAATCCACCCGGTTCCACGTGAAACGGCGACTCGTAATTCTCAATGAATCCGAAAGCAACTGTCAATACGTGAAATTAAACGGTCAATAAAGCTTGGCGAACGGCAGCTGGAGCTTTCCCCACGATCTATAAAACGCGCAAAATAACCGCGAATAATGCTTCGGTTCGATCCCTTTACGTCGTCGCCACGGAAGGGTGAGTCGTTATATCCGTTTCGCAGAGACCGGATAATAAAGCGATTCCAAAGAGGTCCCCCTAAAACGCTTTTAATTGGTCGTTACCGCGGATGCAACGAAGTGCCGCGGTTTTTCTCGAGATGGAAGGAAGAACCGGAAGAAAGGGCGCTAAAAACTTAGAACGAAGCTCTCCGGAAAAGCGTCGAATTACAACGATAATTACGATTAACGGGCACAGAAGAAAAAGTTGCGCGGTATAATTAAAGAGAACAGAGAATTGTGGAAGAAGAGAGAAAGCAGAGCTACATCGATCACCGGCATTTTCATTCACTCTGTACGTATGGACAGTGTGTTCTTTAAATATGCGCACGATAGAACGGCGGTTCGTCGTTGAAATTGAAACCACACGCTGGAATCATGGTACTTCCTGAGGAAACTGAGCTTGCGTGTCAGGACCGATAACGCTAAGTTGGAGGCTTAGCTTAAAGGAAATAAAGATAAATGGCGGCATTTCGTGCGGGACAAATTGAAAGTGGAAGGGTGCCGTTATATATCAGTATTTGTTCTCGCTTCTTTCGCATCGCCAATAGCCCGTGACATTTCGAGAACCAATTTTTTCCAATTAAGAGGAACAGTTACGACGACAGCTCTCAAGAGCGACACTCGAATTTCATTAGAACAACCTTCCGTGACTCGTTTCCCCTTTGCGTATCGTTCCTTTTTCAGCCTGCTACCCTAGAATTTGTTTCGCCACACGATGATGGGGAGATTGCAGCGAAGGAGATACGACGCGTCCAGTCGTTGCAACTCTATTCAACTTCGCGATAAGGAAACATTAGGTTTGGGTTAGATTTGGGCTAGATTTAGGTTAGGTATCTACGAAAACGTCAAACGCTTCGTTCCATGATTCTCCAATTCTGTTACAGTCCTTCTATTAAACTGAACGTGTACAGAGTGTTGAAAAAATATCCGATTTTTTAACAGGTCTTGTCAGATCTCGTCATGGCTCATAAGCTACAGTTGAAACAGACACGTTGTTGCGCGACCGAAATCCCGAATCTTGAAAACCCCGTTCATCCGGCAAAGACGTGGGAGGTACGACGAAATAAAAACCGGCCAACATGGTCGCGTGGTTTCCAATCTGACATAGACAAATCGCGTTCCGTTGCCAAGCACGGAATCGGAGCAACGCGGCCGACTATCCCGTCATAATGGTGAGCGATCGTCCAGAAACGCATCTTATTTGTCGAAAACCGAATCCATTCCGAGTCTCGTTTCCTTTTAGATATCCTGCCTGATAGTTTCCATCTACGCCGGCGAAAACTATTCGTCTTCGCGGAGCTTTTCCGTTCCAACTGTTCCAAGGATGAAATAAGTCCGCGCCGTTAGAGCTTGCGCACAGCGCTGTGTTCGAAGTTTCAAAATTGTTGTTATAAATTCGAAACAAATTGAAAAAGACAAGAACAGCGAGCTGACTGATCACTCGCGATATTCGAAACGCCAATCGGCACTGCCGCAATTCGATAATCTCAAATATCGCGCGCATATCCCATGCATGATCGCGACAATTACGCGTGCGATAGAATTCGAGTTTCGCGGAAAATAACGACCATGTTTGTTTTCGTTTGCCGGTTTCGCTGCTCGATTTATTGCCATTTGGTTCCTGTTTCATTACTCCCATTATTGATTTACATTTACCGTGATAGGACACCTCTGCGAACGAGCATTTTACATAGAAACGTAGCGTAAAGCAGCTCGCAAGGGCTCTTTTTGTACGAAAGTAACTCGATCATCGAGCTTCGATCAAATCGTCAGTTCCTTGGTATCGGCTGCTGTCACTCTCCATCGAAACTAGATTATAACGTGTAACACGATTTCGAATCGACGGTAACTATATTCTAAGTTAGAACCGAACGCAACTGTGATTCGGTCGCGATTCAATCTCGAATTAGATTACCGAATCCTTCGCTGGAAAAGTTTCTGGCCTATTATATCCGATAATCCGTTCGGTCTGTAACGCGATATCGATTTTCGCCATGATTCGTTTTGCATCTCGATCTGGATGACGTGACAATTAAAAGATGCGCGTGGTTACGGCGGCACATTGGCGGGGAAGGTAAACAGAGAGCCCTGGGCCGAGGAACTTTTCTAACCGGGAAAGTTTAATTACGTTTTCGTTAAGCTTTGACATGGCCGATCCGATTACAAGGAACAAAAGTTTTTCCACGGCACGGAAAAATGCATGCGAGCCAGCCGCGCACGCAGCGGCTGTCGGTTTGCAGCTTTCGACAGCGACCTATGTCGGAGATAATTTACATGGAAATGAGGATCGGCATTGATTTTACGTCGAAGCCAGTAACAGAACTAGCCCGGTGATAGATTGTCCCGCTACCTGACGTCGATCAAGTTTTCTTGTCGAAAAGCCAGAGTGGAATTCCCCCTTGCTTCGGCACCCTCGTGGCCGCCCGCTTCCTTCTCGATCGAATCCTCTCGCTTACTAGACGAATGTAAATTTCTGTCCGACCAGTGATCCTCTACGTGTCGAAACACGCGTCTCGCTCTAGTTTTGCATTTTTTATTCGCCGTTCCGCTCCTGATCTCGCCGCAACGCGCCTAGCGGATGGTATAGTTTGAAGTTCTCGCTGGCGGAACAGGAAAGACGCCGAGCTCCACGTAAATGAAACGAAATGCACCGCGAATAAATCTTTTTCTCCTTTTCTTCTTCTTCTTCTTCTTCTTCCTCTTCTTCTCCTTCCTCTTTCCATTTTTAAAACGACATCGAAGGGAAAAGCAATTCGAGTCCGGCTAGATGCAGCCGCATAAATCTCAGCTGTAACCGGGAAACAGCTTGTCGAGCAGGACGATTCGAGTAGTCATAGGAATTGCCGCAAACTCGACCTTCCTCTCTCCGGTTTTCCATGATCGAAGGAAGAATCGTGAACCGCGTGGTTCGTCTAATTAATCCAAAACGTGTGGAGAGGAGGAGGCGGAAAATAGAAATTTCTCGCGCGAATCGGGAGGACGATCTTGACGATTTCCAGTATTTGTGTTCGATTTTTCACAAACACGCGTCGTGTCACGGTGCACGACGCTGAAATTGCGCCATTAATTTACCAAGCGACGCGCCACACGTTTCCCCGTAATTTCCAGCAGGGTCATTAAGGCGGCGCTTGTATTTCTTGTAACCGTATTATCGAAAAATCTACGGGCTCGGAAATTGCCGGCATCGGGAAGACTATAGATCGTAGATACGATCACTTTTAGCGAGCTGTAATGGAACTCCGTGAACACGTTCGGGTCATCGCGTTCCCTTATTCATCGTAGCGCAAGTGGGGCCACGATTCACCTGAAAACGTCACGGAGCAATGACACTGAAAATATTGCCCCGAAGTTTCATTCGTGTGCAACAAACAACCCTATTCTGAAAACGTCACGGAGCAATGACACTGAAAATATTGCCCCGAAGTTTCATTCGTGTGCAACAACCCTAGGGGGGAAGCAAGCGCAATCGCTATCGAGTAGAACGCGTTTTTTCCCCGGTTTTAATCGACTCTGAAAATTGACGAGGCTGCGCGATAAATCATCGCTTCGAGATAAACGGGGTGTTCGCACAAAGACCGAAATGCAAAATCATCTGCAAATTCGATACGAAGGAACAATCGATGAATACTTGTTACGATCTCTCATAGAAGAGCACGTCGAACGAGGCTTCGCCACTTCTTTTTCCTTTTTGGAGCATCGAACGGAACTGAAATCGGTCGGCCGCAATGTTCCAATAAGTCCGTGAATATCTATAAAAATGTCGGACATGTTTCCGAAACTTTAAATCGCCGGCTATTATTCCGACGAGGAGTAGACGAGCCGAACGAAAGTTTCCCGATAAATCATCGTGAAAAACCGAACAGGAGCAACTGAAGGGTAGGGAGGAAGGAGAGGGGAAGGGAGTAAAGAGCGTAGTTGCGAAACTAATAAATATTAATACTGTATGGTTACTTTATAATCGATCGAGACCTTACCCGTCCATCTTTATCCAACAATTCCAGCCAACCTACCTGCGTAGAACGAATCAACTTTGTATTTTTTCCACGTACAACTTTCGAAATTATTTCATCCTGTTCGTCCTCGTGACTGTTTTGCCATCATTTATCGATCGGCCAATAGAAACGGATTTGTACTGTCAGACGCGCGATCACGAAAAATCCGATAAATCCGTCGTTGCTCTACCGTTGCGTGAATTCTCGTAAACGTCGCGATATATTTCAGTGATTATGCGACCTATATCACGCGATATCTAGCACATAGGGGAGTTACGGGGAAAAAAATGGGAACAGGAATTAGTTTGGAATTGTAACGAATATCGGGAATATTGCGAGCGCGCGTCCACGAGTAACAGAACGCGATTTAGCCAGGACGATGAATTTCACTCGTAATACATGCCAAACACACAACACCACGCGTAAATGTGGTTGTTTTCGAAAACATGGTACGAATAATTGTCTCGTTCCACGTCCCACAGGCACTGAAAGCCCGAGTGTACACTTTGATCAAGACGCTGAACTATTGACACCTGTACCACCAATTTGTACCTTACAACGAGAAGAAAAATATTGCATTAGAGACGAACGATATCACGCAGAGTAATGCTTTTCAAAAATCAGCGTCTCCGCGTTGTTACGATACCGCTACACTCTCAACCCGCACCCCGAGCAATTAAATCCTGAATTAGAAACAGGAGAGACGATTTTTCGCGACAACAGCTGTTACGAAGGAATTTACGAGAGAACGCCAGGGTGAGTCAGTTTGAGAGTCGTTAGCATCGCAAACGTTTCGCGTTCATGGCGCAAAACGTGGACACGTCGAGGATCGCTACCTATCGAAATCCTTTTTGCAGAGCACATTTTGCAAGTCAGATCCAATCTCGAAACATAATTTCGCCATGTGATTCGGATGATAGGATGTCACCGGTGATAGCTTACTCTCCATCGTCTCCTTCACTATCTGATCGACCACCTCGATGTGGAAGGGATGGAATGATTCGAGTCGATAGGTGTTTTGGTACTTGGGAATCTACGCGTATTTCACCGGAACATTGCCTAGATTAATCTGTGACTCTACCTGCACCGTGCTCGATACAAGTATTTTGCACGATGTCTGGCAGCTTAGGATCGAACCCTCCCGATGATTCTACGTACCTTCAATCGATCTCCGCGTCTGTGGAAAAACACACGGCTCCCTGAACTCAAACCAGAGATCCCCGACAACAGCCTCTTCTTGCTCTGAAGCAACATACGGACTTTTGATCGACAATTCGGCTTAACCTATCGGCTATTTCTACTTAACGTTTACCTCGTTGAACTGCACTTGTCTCATACTGAGCTTTCGTAAATTCGGATTTGATCGAAACCTCGAAATGCGCGACTCATTGAGATTTTTGCTTTGCTGTTGGTTCATAATTGGAAAATCTAAAATGATTTCGGGAAATGGGCAATGGTGTCGGAAAACAAAAGAACGTTTATGAAGATGAAGTTGGACTCGTATCGCAATGGAATAAGCTAAAGATGCAAAAACTGGACGATTTATACGTTGCACCGTGCACGGTAACAGTTTCATCTGGCTCCTCGGTATCCCTTAATCCATCTTCTTTCGCGAATCCAGACGAATGATGTTTTTTCCGGACGTAGCATCTGGTTGCTATTAAATACTCCGTGTTACTTTCATTCTCGAGCTGTCTACGGTAAGATACTACTCGTTACAGGTACGTCATTCGACGTCGATTCCTATTTAATAATTTAGTAGATCGTGATAACAAACGATTAATCACCTGGACCGGCTTGAAGCTCGTTCCTTTGAGAGTGTCTACTAAGAATTTGATGGAAATCTGAAGAGATAACAACTGGAAACTTCGATCGCGTGCCGTGGAAGATAGCAGGACGCTGGGTTCGATCCTGGGTATCAATTGCATCAATCGTTGCTGCTACTCGGCCCTTTAATTTAGGATTATCGCGAAGACTGTTGTAAGTATAATAGAATTTCCTATAGTTTCGTTCGATATAAAGTCTAAATTCAATTTCACACCACTCGGTGTAATTCACATCTGAACGTAGCTCGATCTCCAGCTAGTTCCATAGAGCGGTTGAAACAATAAGATGAAGATACAGAGCGTTCGTGATGCAGTGGGAGTTGAGCAAAGTAAACAACACACTGCGACTCTTAATTTATATCGAATATAAGAAGCTTACCGGCGAAGGAAATCTTGAAAGAAAAGTCTTCTCCGGGAAATCACGTCTACTTGTATTTTATTTTAATTTTCTTCGTCGCATTCTCTTTAGATAGGAATTATCGAGGAGGCGAATCAAAGCAGCAAGAGGAATCGCATCGACTTCTCCTTCTTCCTCTTTTCAATTCGCCTTCCCGCTCGCGTAATATTGTACATTATCGCGATCGTTCCAGGGAAACTTTTCTCGAAGAACGCTCCGTTCCTCCGAACTTCAGCTGGACAACTTACTTACGTTAAAATAATATCAACGCTCTCGGAAATTAACGAAGGCGGAAAGATTCGAGAAGTCTCGAATGCAAAATTGACCGACAACGAGTCCTCTGACGGAACAAGAAGTTCCCGTCGGGTATAATAAACGTAATCGGCGCGAATCTTTGGACAGGAAAGTTGAAATTACGCCGATTGGTCCCGTCTCGGACTTTACTTTGCCGAGCCATCGCGAGAGGAATGAAATCTCGAGGATCCTCCTTGACGATGGCATTTTATCTTCCGAACGGTAAGAAGTCGTTACGAGCTTTGGCTGATGCGCCGCCATTAATCGTAAAGGTATTCCAAAGTTAAGTCATAGGATGGAGGGTTGAGAATACAGGCATCGGCGGACGTCTTATCTTCCTTAAAAGCAAAGCTGTCGATTCGAATGCGCCGTGATGCGCGAGCGAATGGTGAAAGAAGCCGTGAACTTCGATTTTTCATCGGTAAAATTCATAGTTGATTTATGCCGGCAGGCTTTATTGCGAGTTCGCGGGAACAAGGAAGATGGCCCGGGGGTTATAAAAGTTCGAGAGACGCGCACGAGTCTTCTCGATAAAGCCGATATTTGCGTGTACAGTGCATTCCTCGTATAATTCAACTTGCATTCTCTACGATTACGTGACACCCATCTCTGATCCCATTCGCAATGAAAACTATAGAATTTACGACAATGGAGGAAAGAATCTAACAATAAGAAGGGTGACGGAAAAGTAGCTGGGTGACCGGTTGTTATCGATTCTCTGGAAAACTTGCTAACTATAAACGTGCAAGTTCTCGCACTCTGTCTGGCTCGTTAAATTCCGTCGAGTGGTAATTGCACGGATACTTTCATCGATTGGTAATTCGTAATCCTGCCGACGAGCCAGAACAAAGTGGCGCAGAGTGCTCTGAAAATTACCGTCGCCTTGTTCGAGCTCATTAACTTCGAGCTGGTGAGTCGTTAGATACCGGTAGGAGAAGAAACTTGTCTATAGACTTGTGCGACTACCATCTCGTACAACAAATTTGCTAAAACTCCGCTCGTCTAGCGACCTTACAGGAGCTGCGCTATATCTGCTAAGAACTTAACTTTTGGATAACAAACGGCATTCGGGATCTCGTTAAACTTGCAGCTCGCGAGACGTACAAATCAAAAATCTTTTGCCAGGCAGACATGCCTTAGTCTTGAGCTCTAGCTCGTTTCATTTACTATTCGCCGAGGATGCTAAATAAAAGGTACGTTTCACGGGGATTTAGGAACAAGCAAATCGGAGCCATATTTCGTAGACGTATCTCTATGGAAGATGAAAAAGAAAAAGAAAAGAAAACGTACAAACGATTTCGCGGCTGTTTAATTTAAATTCTTTTTACCGAATTGTATCAAGAAACAACAAACTGCAGCGAATTGTTTTGTTCGCTCTATTTGATTTTTACACCGCATGAAGGGGAGGTGGTGCAAAGAGCATTCTTTGTTGCTTCATAAACAGAACACATTTGTACGCGATTTCGGGCTCGGTTAAGTAGACATTATACGTGAATTTAAATGCTTCGGTAAACGGGATAAAGGTTGGCAGGGATTAAGCTGCAAGCTTATTTATTCTAATAATCAGAAGCGGAATCAGCAGCGAGCGCTTAAATTAGGCTTTCCCCGGTAATTTTCTTCTCCATCAGCCCGTTCTTTTGTGTAAAACCCAGATATACATATTTTCATAACTGGAAAGAAACGTTTTGACCTACGAATCTTACCTGTTCGAGTCTAATAGAGTCGACTCTCTCGTCAAAGAGGGTTATTCGAAGCGAAAGTAGGGAAATCGTGTTAACCTTGCACAGGACATTAAAGACGAGAGCACAAGATTAAGAGGCGGAGGACTAGGTTGCCAGCGTCCGTGGCAACGGCAATTTCTACCCGGAAATTCTGGCGATCGTGGTCAGGGAGAAGCACGCACCGAGGCAAGGAGACAAGAGGATCGTCCGGTTTCCCATGAATTTACATTGGCGATGTGTCCTCGTCTCCGTTTCGCAACAGCCGCCTAACAGATGCTTTGTGTGATTTGCATAAAATGAGACCGGCAACATTCGCAGTGTGCCCCTATAGGACGTGAGCAAGGTCTCGGTACGCATAGCCGGACTTCAGAATTGTCCTTTCCATTATCGGAAAACGTGGCCCGGATTTAATACCGACGAGCCGGTTAATCGTACGGATCACGTCGATGCGTCAACGTTACATGGAAATTAACTTAAAACTCGAAAAGCAACACGAATTTGCCACACTTTGCGTTCAACGATAGAGAATCAAAAACGGAAGCCAGCGACGAGGATTCCGCTCAGCCTAGGTCAGTAATCGAAACGAATAATCGAAATAAATGGGTTTAATAATCGAAATTAACAGATATATCGTGTCTATTAACAAGTCGTTCTTTTGTTTGGATTTTTTTTTTTTTCTTTTTTTCCTTTTACCTCATACGCATACGAATCACGAAATATTTATTATTCTACAGGAATGTTACAGTCAGGTGCGACGACAGGTTCGAAGCACATCGGCGAGCGTTGTAACGCGGCGAACGAGTTACGAAATTCGCAGCACGACGCGCAACGAGTCATCTCTCGATAATATAATATTTCGGCCGTCGAACTTCGGCGGGGCTTTCGATTCACAGAAAATTCAGTTCGCGAGATAAACGTGGAAGCTCGTAAATCACAGACCGGCCATCTCCTCCCGATGTGTATCGCCCAGTGGGAGACAGTGGACGCCAACGTCTTGACGAGAACAGCCACGAGTGAAGAAGGAGCTCACCGAAATATCGTGTCCACCAACAGGACCAGGCTGAGTAAAATCACTCTTCTGTTGATGTTGCCGGTGCCACCGTGCTGCATCGCCGCAGGATGTTCACCTAGAAAGAAAGTCCGTTCACCTGGTTTGATCTATCGCGGTGATACACGTCGTAAAACTAGGACAACAATAGGTAGAGGAAATTTCGTGCGAATCTCGAAAATTTCACTGGCAAATGAAATTTACATAACGGCAGGGGAAGCACCCGGTTTAATTTCAATCCGCGGTTGTTTTTCCACTCCCTGTGACTCCTGGACGTTTCCGATTTGTTCGTTACCAGGTCAACGAGAAAACTGTAACGAGTTTCCTGAATTACGACAATCGTTACCCGACAAGGTTTGCGGAATTACGCGTTTTTAAACGTTTATCGAATCCGTAAACTCTCCTCGACGCGAACATTCTTTCGTTCTCTACCCCTTTGTCTCCGACTTTTCTTCCCCACTCGTTAATTCTCTTTCCTCCTTTCTTATAATTAACCGCGTAACAATTCGCTCGCTGGTGACGAACTTTGACATGCAACGAAGCGATCGAAAATATAGCAGTGAAATTTCCCCGAGTAAACCTTCCGACAAGGATCTTTCGCGAGATGTGCTTAAAGTATCTCAACGCGGCTTTAATGCTTCAACGGAATCTCGAGAGCTTGATGGAATAAAGGGAGTTTTCTTTTCTTCTTTTTTTTCCAGAAAAATCTTCCTTCGGGACTTAATCGAGCGTAGTTTATCTGTTTTATCCTCACCGTTCAACACGTGAACCATCACATTTGCTGGAGCAACCTTGCTCGAGACGCACGTGTAATTGCCGCTGTCATCGAGCTGAGCACGCGTTATTAGAAGCTTGCTGGTGGTCCCATTCTTACCTTTCTCCGTTTCCAGGGAAACGCCGCCCCTGTCAAAGGTAAAGACGTTATTACGAACGAATTCCGATAACCGATCAGATATCAATACCGTCTACGTATTTTTACCGATCATTTTTGCTCTTCACTGCGTAAGACAGTGAGACGGGATAAACTGGGAAAGTCGATACTAGAATGGGACGCACCTTGGACCATCGAAATCGATCACCGCACCGGCATGGTACCAAGTCACGTTGCTCGGAGGAATATCCTGCACGTTCACGATACAGGTCAAACTGATCGTACTTCCCTTCTTCACGAAAACCTCTTCGGGACCCGTGATCTTTGCCTGCATATCTGATATTCCAACAGAACGAAAGACGTGAAAAATACACCTGACTGCTCGACTCCTGACAAATTAACCGGTCCAGGGTACTCCGAATTCGTGCATAGATCCAAACCGTTCTCGTTTAGAAGTTCGTGACAAGACTCAAACGAAACTCCGAGCCAGGAAACATGGATGAATAAAGAATGAATGAATAAAAGATACTCGCGAGTAGATCAAATTTATTCATAGCCGTCTCGTTACTTTAGTCGGTAAGTAGGATAAGTAGAAGTGGAAGCAAAAGGTTACAGAGCCGTTTTCTGCACGGGAACAACGATGGTGTTAACGAAGGGCGATACTTGTTGCCAGAACGAAAGAATTTGATACTTAAACGTTAACTCGGACACGATCTCGCGAAAAAGTGATTCAGGCCGTTCAAGATTACGCAAAGCAGGCGGGTTCGGTTACTCCGATCCCTTGAAAACTTTGGTTCAACGAAAGGGTGTTTAAGTCCTTGATTCCCTACCCAGCGAATGAACGAACGAATGAACAACCATCTCAAACAGAACATTTTCCACGGAAGATGAACGTAAGCGCGTAACGTCGGGTTCGGTGGAAGGTCCGAAGCGACAGAAACTCACCTAAAACTTTCAAAGTAACTGCCCTATATATCTTGGGTTCTGTATTAACTTGACACTCGTAAATGCCGGCGTCCCGTGGTTGCACGTAATCTATTCGCAGATTCCAGTCGTCGTACTCCGGATTGCCGACTATCGTAAATCTTGCGTCGCTCGCATAAGTCACTGACATGGACGTTAAGATGTGTAAGTCCCTTCTTCGAATCCAAGACACCTGGGACAAATTCCGAATGAGATATGGAATATTTTGCTGGCCGTTAACTGCCCGTGATATTAAACCTCTTTTACCAGTCTCTATCCCGTGAAATATGCACGTTAACGTTTACCATTTCGTACCGTCGAAGCAACTTTGCTATCCGTGCCTTTCGGACGTGAATTAATCCCACGAAATTTCCATCGAAAAACTAACAACGATGTTTAAACATACGGCGGGAACGAGTTGCAATCAGAGCAGAAGTTTACGTCGTAATAAAGGATAAACGATCTACGTGCGGAAAGAAAATCGAAAAGAAAAACATTATTGCCGCAACGCGCTAATCACTTGTCCATTAACCAAGGAAACTAGGAAAGCGTACGTAATTGCTTTAAAAACGGTTAGACGAAAACGACGCTTTACATGCCACACACCGTCACGCAACGGCAATATTTCCTTGTGTTAATTAACGACAAGCCGAACATTTGCACGGTGAAACAACCGAGACCGTGTTGTTCCGCGTTTCGTAATTCTACCCTTTCCGTCCCGACCCTTACGATCGCGATCGAGAATTCCTGATTACGTTGCAATTTAGGATCGCAGGAATTTCCGTGATACACAATTCTAAGGGTACGTTACGTGATCCCCGTAACTTAAATATTTGCCAGGACATCGTACCCGAAATTCGTAGTTTCGAAAGTATACCTTCAGCTACGCCAGTGTAATTCCGAATAACTCGGAATACTAATTCACCACATTGCGGCAACACGGATCTTGCAGTGCTCATTAGCTGCGAGTAAATATACAAATTTCTGTAACTAATCGTATTTGACTTTTCGTACGCGGAATGGGGAATATATTTTTTTTATTCGACGATTTAAACGGATGTATATACACGTGCTTATATAGCAATGCGGAGAGAGAAGAAAGCAACGTGGTAGTGGTAAAAATTTGAGCGAACGTGTACTCGTAAAGTAACGTTGTTTCCTCGGGATTCGACTGGTTATTGTTTCAGGAGTTTCTAACGTAATTGCGAAGAGTGCAAGGCGACATTATTATTCAAAGAGATGTGAAACTCACGGTTCTGTTCCCCAAGTTTTTAACACAACACAACAGCACAACAGTTTGTCCCACAACGGCGGTCATTTTTTGGGGTGAGTCTTTGTAAAAATACGTCCTCTTCGTACCTCGTTGCGAACGTTCCCCTTTATCGGATTTTTCCCCGTCGAATCGTTGCACCGCTAAAATTCAGGTATCACGCTTGAACCATTGAAAAGCTTTGCCCTTTCGCTTATAAGCTTGTGCGTATAGCTTTTTGAATTAAACGATTCGAGGATTAAAGCGTTTAATACTGGTCAATTTTTAGAATAAATTTCCTCGAGTATGAACAAATACCGAGCGCAATATTATATATATATATATGTGTGTGCACAAAATTTTAAAACGCCGAATGATCAAAAAACCTTCTATGTTTTGTACTCGAATTTTATCAACAAAGAGCTCTTGATTAAACGATGAGCGTAACGCGTAGCATGGAATTTTAGTAAAAGTGATATTGGAAAGATTGAATCGGAATGTTAATTCACAATAATAACTATTTTCTTTGATTCACCAAATCTATCGTTGATCATATTACCGAATGAAGTTTTGAATTTTTAGATTTGTACACTTTGAAATTGATTGTACCTAAGTTCCGGTGGCCGGAAGGCGGTTCTGCGTGTAACAGGTACCCGATTCCAAGCAATATGAGGGCCATGCCATGGAACGGTGCCATTTTTTTACATACGAGACTCTTTCATCTTCATTCGTTGTTTTTCCTGTTCCTTTGAAATTCTGATAAGTCTCCGCGAACCATCGATAATCTCTTGGTCATCTCTTGATCATTAAAATTCTTCTTTCCCCATCTTCTGAAGAACTCCTTGGAAGTAGTCATGTATCTGGCGTTTGTACTTCTTTACAAATAATATATGAACTAAATTTTCACCCACATAATTCATAACAGTTTCGATCCTGTCACGAAGCAACTGCGATATCGATCATTATTTCCTAATTGTTGAGGTAACAAAAATCTTAATTAAAAAAAAGGAAACAGAAATGTAAAAGAAGAGAAAAAGGTGCACTATTTCAATGAGAAAATAAGCTTGTATTTCAAAACAAATTTCTTGCCTCGATAACAGTAAATTTATCCATAGGAAAAACCGCGACGTTAATATTTTTATCTATGTATAAGAATCAACGTGAAATGGAAAGTGCAAAGAGAATTTGTTAGCTCAGCTAACAATGCTCGATCATTGAAGATACGACAATGGAACAACTTCAAGAACAGCGCGCTTCGATAGCGTTCCAAATACTGAAAGCTGCTCCTGCTCGAGGAAACGAAAAAGCTAAAATCAAGGTGCAGTGGCGCCTCACGATGCTCTCGATATTTGCGATTGCGCCAACAACTCGATCTATTCTTATAATCTTTATCTATTTGTTTTTAATTGTATAAACTTTTGTCAAAATTAAATACATTTAAAAATTACCTATTATAGGATATCTACAATAATTCAAAGAAACGAAAGATATAACATTGAATCGATATTATTTTATAAAATTAAAAATAATATATTACATTTTAATGATTTAACAATTATACAACAGGATATATGCACCAAATACCTTTAACCTATAAATTTTATAAGGATATAATTACAAAATAATTGTGTTTGTGTGTGTAACAAAATAAATTTCACTTTATTTTAATAAAAGAAAGAAATACTATGTTATTTAATCAACATAAATATTTCATATCCAATAATAAAATATTATTCTAATTTTGCTATTTTTTACACTCACAGATACAAACATTTATATACCAATTAAATTTTTGTATAATACAAAACATATATCTGTATAACTACTGTTTTACTAGTAAAATATACACATATAAAAATATTTAATAAGTCAATAATACCATAATGGGCAGAATAAACTATGTGTTTCCCTAAATCTTATATATCTACGTAATATTATGCATTTTCAATGATGCATTGAAATAAAATATTTAATTTCTAAAAAAATCTCCCTTTGTTCCACCAGTTTTTAAAACTAATTCGATATCAGTTATTTTTATTGATTTCGGGGAAGCTGCGTATTTGCACATATCATAAATGGTTAGGGCCGCAATACTCACAGCTGTTAGGGCTTCCATTTCTACACCAGTTTTACCAGTACACCTAACTTCTGCTGTGATCTCTATCTGATGCAATTCTTCGTTTAAATGCAAGAATACATTTACATAAGATAATGGAAGTGGGTGACATAAAGGTATTAAATCGGAAGTACGTTTCGCTGCTATGATACCTGCTAATTGAGCTACAGATAATACATCGCCCTTTTTTACATTGTTCTCAGCTATTAATTTGCTTATATTCGAATTAATTTGTACAATTCCTTTTGCTATCGCAACGCGTTTAGTTTCACTTTTCGAACCTACATCTACCATGCTGGCCTTGCCAGATTGATCCACGTGCGATAGTGAAGAAAAGTTTCTTATATTTGCATAATTTTTAAATCCAAGTCCCAAGTAAACTGTTAAATTTTGTCGCGATACATAAGTTCGTAAATATTTATAACTTGTAAGATGTACACGTTTCTTTTTAACTGTAAACACAAACAAGTAGAATTAAACATATCATGTTTCTCAAAGTAAATTCTTGCATCATTGATTATAAACAAATCGAGCGATAACGTTTGTGCACATATTATTGATACATTATATTTTATATCAACTTAGAATTCTCATAATAATCGATTAACCCCCAATCAGAATCATTGGCCTGTTTTCCATGTGGGAGAGATTGAACATTCCTGAAACACACATATTGTCGGAAACATAAACGTTATCGCTTTATACCAATCAACATTTTATGATGCAATGTAATTTTTTATATTCCTTCATACAAATTATAAATCATATAGATTAAAAACTAATTTATTACCTGCATGTTGCTTCTTTTTACGTCGTACCGCTGTTCCAATCATTTCCTTTAAAACGTCGTTAGACGCTCCACTACGTAATGCATCTCGAAGAGATACTTCCCCTTTTCCTTCAAATAGACAAACTTTTAAATTTCCATCTGCTGTTATTCTTAATCGATTACACGAGGAACAAAAATGATCACTCATTGATGTAATAAATCCAATTTGTCCCGTGAATCCAGGTACAAAATATGCCTATTGAAAAAAAAAATTAGTTGTTTATTAAAACATACATGCACAGATTAAAATGTGTTTAACAGAATTTTTAAATTACACACTTTTGATGTATCATTATACTTATTTGGAAGACGTTGCAAGTTAGGATATGTATTTCTAATAAGTTTTTTCATCTCCTTGAAAGGAACCATCTTATTTTCATTCCACTTATTCCCTTGAAAAGGCATGTATTCAATGAAACGTATATCAATTGGATGGTTTTTTGTTAAATTAACAAAATCAATTATTTCATCATCGTTAAAACCTTTCATTATCACACAATTAACCTAAAATTTACTTTGTACAATATTTTGTATAAATTTAATTATATTAATTAAATTGTTTCTCACTTTCACTGGGTTATAATCTAATTGAATAGCCAGATCAATAGCAGCCATAACTCTAGACCATCCTTTTCTACGAGTAAGTTGTTCAAAACGATCTTGTCTTAAAGTATCTAATGAAATATTTATTGCATCTAATCCAGCTCGTTGAAGTGATGGTAACTGACGTGTTAATGTCAATCCATTAGTAGTAATTGCAACTTGTTTTAAACCCGGCAGTTGTTTCATACCAGCTACAATAATTACTTTTATTGTTTAAAAAATATTAACATACCACAACACATTAAATACAATGATATTTACCAATAATGTCTATAATATCTTTTCTAACAGTTGGTTCACCACCAGTTAAACGTATTTTATCTACACCTTCACTTACAAATAAATCAGCTATTTTAATTATTTCATCTGTTTTTAAAATTCCATCATTTTTTGTTAGCTTAACTCCTTCAGCTGGCATACAATATAAACCTATAATAAATGAAACATTTCATGAAGTATAATATCACATAATTTGACTACAAATGTTATTGAATGAATACTTACATCGAAGGTTACAACGTTCAGTAATTGAAATACGCAAATATGTATGATATCTCCCAAATGAATCAGTGAGTGTATCATTGTTATGTGTGTCATTTTCTTTGTACACTTTTTATAAATTTTCAATGATATCACATAATAATCTGTGACATATAACAATTCGAAAAAATGTATTACAAAAAGAAAAAATATGTAATATTACAAAAGAAAATATACTCACTCTATATGCTGTATTTGATGCAATAGATGTCTTGATAGATGGGCATACACCACCGAACATTGAATTTACAATATTAATTTTGCGAAACATTTAAATGATGTGCAATTAATAAAAAACAATACAATGATTTATAACCTTTATATTTAGTAGCAAATTTTTTTATCTCCTTTATAAGGAATAAAAAAAATTATATAATTCAAGATTTTTCAATATGGGTGACGTATTCACGTTATCTTTTTGGTGATTGCATTGAAACAATTTTATACATTCTAATACTGTACTTACTTATCACCAGAAAAATAAAAATCATCTTTCGTAACTTTGAATTTAACAAACTCTATCATCACGATAACTGATATTAACCTTTTGATATGATTCAAATTCCTTTGCCGCGTATATATTTTAACCAATCACTGAACACTTTATATAACTACTATATAAATTTCTAGAACCTTTTATATATAAAAGTTTGACAATACTTGTTATCAAGCATTGGTATATATAACCTATTAAAAACCGAAATGTCATTTATTTAAATCTATTAACGGTATTAATTTCAGGTGACATGTCTTTATTTCCAGCTTATTCCAGTGACAAAAATAAATCTTCGACTTCTAACGAATCAAAGAATTTTACAAAAGGTTGCTAATATTAAATTGAAACTAATATTAATATCAATTATTAAATTGGTTATAAGTTTTGTACCATTCTATAACACAATTATTATTTTTAATTACAGAGAATGAATCAACCAGTTGGTTATACAATTCTAGTTATTTAGAACAAATTTCATCTAACAATTTTGTTAATTTTTCTTCTGAATCTTCAGATGAAACTACACATGAAACTTCTTATTTATATAAACAAGAGAACTTATGCACTACTTCTTTACAGAAAGAAAAATGTGGAGTAGAAGAAAGAAAAAAAATTAAACGTATAAAAAAGAAGAAAAAGGATAAAAAGAAATATGCATATGAAAAAGATGTAAAAAATGTATATTTTGAAGATAAGTTCAGAGATAAGGGAAATAATACTCTAAAAACATTGTATTCTAGAGTTAGGCCATATTATAATGTTAAAAAAAATTCCCTTGGTTTTATTCCATACAAACAATCAGTCAAAAATACTTATGAAAGGTACTATGTAAAAAATATTGATTACACAGAAAAAAATAAGAAAAATGATACCATTATTAGAAAGGAATCTACTAACGATTCATCTAAAAAAGAAGAATGTATACCTTCATGGTATGTTAAATTAGAAGAATTACAGAAAAACAAAACTAAAGATTATAATGAAAAATTAATAGATAATCCAAATGATATTAAATTATGGATTGAATATATAGAATTTCAGGTATATCAAGAATGTTATATTTGTATTTACTAATAAATTGTCTCATTACATAAATGTTCTATGTATAGGATTCATTAGGATATTTTCAACAATATCAAACAGCAAAGGATGTTTATAGAGCAACAACATTAAAAAAGTTGTCTATAATTGAAAAAGCTTTAGAGAAAAATGTAGAATCTACAACCTTATTAAAATTAAAGTTTTCCTTTATGAGAGAACTTTTACCTGCTGATGAATTTTCAAAGCAGCTTGAAATATTGATTAACAAAGATTCAGGAAATGTTATTTTATGGCAAGAATTTATTATGACTACACAAACTTCAGTAGCAATGTGTACAGTACCAAAAGTGTTAGATTTATATTCAAAGTGTTTTTGTATTTTAAAACAAAAAGCTAGGATAAATCCTCGAGTATATGATGAACAATTATTACGTATGTAAAAATTTCATAAATTATATTACCCTTTTAATAAATTGAATAAAATGATGATATTTAACTTGTGCATAGGAATGTTGTATTGGTGTCTGACATTTTTAAGACATACTGGACTTTGGGAACAAATGTGGGAAACAATACGTTTGAATCTTATTTTAAACCTTAGTTTAGATAAAGACAGTCTATCATTCAAAAAAACAATAGATGAAAAGAAATTAAGTAAGAAAATTTATAATGAATACAAATAATATTTTTAATTTTCTATATATTTATTAATGTGATTATTTTACAGTTGGAATGGAGGAAGTAATATTAATGTCAAGATTACCACTTAATCAACTATGGCAAAGAACAGAATCATTAAGAGAAAACTGTCATTGGATTAGTGTCAGTAAAAATGAATTAGACTTAGTGGGTGATTCTCGAAGATTTGTTTTGCCAGATGATGTTGCAGATTTTGTTCATCCAATACTTTCAAGAAATTTGAATTTTCGAATGGCAATTCATACAATACTCTTGCTTAAAGTACCATTGTTACCTACTCGAAATTATATGTTAAAGGTATGTCTGTATATAAACAGTTGAGGACAATTCATGATTTATTTTTCATATTATATATCAGTAATATTTATTTCATACATTTATATATTTTTAGATATTAACATTAGAAGAACTTGACTGGAGTATAGAAACTTCAGAAGTACTACTTCCATTTGCTTATCCTATGGTAGGTGAAATGACTGGTCATAACCAAAGGAAGGAATTATTAAATGGCATACTCGAAGGACGTATAACGTCAGGTCCTCAATACCTTACATTTCATCCTGCACAAGAGTCATATTTGGATTTTATACGTGAAATATTTTTTACAATTGCTGAAAATTTACCTTCTCTGCAACGTACAAGTATATATGTTTGGTGGTTAAGATTTGAGAGATTACTTATTTTCCTTCAGAAAGATGATCTATTAAAATATGATAACAAGTAATATTTGTTTTATATTACTTTATAAAACGAAACAAATCTAGTTTTATTTATATTTTATATCTTTTACAGGCGAAAAAAGTTAAAAGCAACGTTAAAAGAATTCTTTAAAAAAGATGATAATAGAAATAATTTACATTTTTATAGAGAATATGCATTGATAGAAAAAGAAATGGGAAAATTTGATAATTGCATAAATATTTTAGAAACAGCTATTCAGTCTCAAAGTGCATGTCCTTCTACAATTCAAAACCTCGAAGAAAAATCGGCTCTTTTAAGCTTATATCGAACATTTATTGAAACTTTACTTGACTCTGAGACATATAAAGAAACACATAAAGCACGCATATTTAATGTTATGAAACAAATAGTACCAAAAACAAATGCAAATCAACTGCTACAAGTAGAAAAGTATTTAGAAAATTGTATACAAAACTTTTTACAAGAAGTTCCTTCAGAGGATGAAGAAAATACATACTTCTTACCAAATGTCAAATGTGATACAATTGTATGTTATGTGTATTTATTATATTTAAAAGATGCTGATATTACTAGGACAACTAGTATATTTAAAAGCTGTATAAATCATTATAAGAACAACCATTATATACAGGTAATAAATGTCGCTTCTTTGGTTCTGTAGTACAAATTTTATTACATGTTTAATATATTATATATTTCAGGAAATATTGCGTGAAAGTCAAATTGTACTTTTGCAATTACATTATAACCGAGTTCAAAATGAAAGCCTTTTAAAAACTGAACTAAATGATATGTTAAATTTGTATCCAAATAATTTTTTTGCCCTTTCAGTATTTGCAAGTATTGAGGTAAATATCAGGTTAATATTTGCATGTAATGATATTGAAAGGAATAACTAGTGAATCTTGGTATCAAAAATTTAAATTATAACATTTATTTGCCAGAGTGAATTGCCCATTTGGAAAAGTAATAGTCGAATGACAAAATTTCAATTGTGGAAAGCAATTGCTATATGTTTGGCAAATAGAAAACGTATTCATTTCTTACAGGAGCTTAAAGATTATGTTAGTATGAATGCAGCAATTAACAAATTATTATATTTTCATCAGACAATTGCAAGGTATATTTTTAAATAATCTATATTAATATGTCACATAGCATTTAAAATTGAAAAAAAATGATGATCTTGCAGAATACCAACAATTAAGAATTGTCCTCTGTTGTGGAGATTATATATGCTCCTTCTTAGGGAATATAATTTATGTGAAAAGAAAGGAGAAGAAATATATCACGAAAGCGTTGCATTATGCCCTTGGGCTAGAAGCATTTACATTGATGCAGCTGAGATTGCACCTCAATTTCTTACACAAGTTCAAGATGTTATACGAGAAAAAGAATTGAGAATGCATGTTACCCCAGAAGAATTAGATATTTTACGCAGCTAATTTTAATATGTAGCATAAAATATTTTATGCTTAGTTAATCATTTATGTAAATAATATTTTTGTTATACTGTGTATATATATACGTAAAAATAAAAATATCTTTATGAAAAATATGAAGAATCGATTTTCATTAAAAATATAAATTTTATAATTACAATATCAAATTGTAACACTCTTAATATAGATGTACTAAAACAAATAGTGTGCTGAAATGATATTAGATCGTGGTTATAAATTGTTCTCTAGTAAATATACGAGTGATAAACAAATATTATCGCTTTTATATTTCTATATAATATAAAAAAATATAATATAAAATAGTTTTCAATGATTCACATTGATAAGTAAATTCAATGGAGTAATATAATGGTAACTAAAAACTTAGGTTAGATTAATCGTCATTTGTAGTAATTGCATGTTATTTTATTAATGTTATTCATAAGTATAAAATTTTGCTCATTTTAGATATTAAACATTTTAAAGCTGCTGAAATTCAAGATATAAAATGTTTAATCTGTCATATTGAAATCTTTTATTTATTAATAAGATTTCATAATATACGAAAAGGTTGAAAAACCTATATCTGAAAAGTTTAAATTTATTTTTTCAATATGGATTTAAAAGCTGTTGTAGTTTCGGGTGAAGCACCTGAATCTGATGATGACACTGCAAGCATTGTCACGGTATGTTATCTTTATACTACATAAATTATATTGTGTGCAAAAATGAGATATAAATAATATTTTACATAGGGCATAGGGTTTCCTTCTGTAAGAACTTCTAATTATTGTGGTACTATTATTTCTGGTGAAGCTCCAGAATCCGATGATGGTAAGTTTCGACAATTTAATAGTATAAAAGTTCCTCGTAACATAAACTATAAATTTATTTTATAGAAACATTCTTTCTAAATCTAATCTAATTTAATATCCATTAGATGGGATAAGTATAAGCAGCGTTAGCGGAGCAGTTGATGCTATGACCTGCATGCCAGAAATGAAAATACCAAAATCAAAAAAATGTTTTATAAAATACAATAGTTTGCTGCATAAAAAATTACGTAAGTTTAAATATTAGTTTTATAAATAGTCAAATAAATATATTTTTATTAACATCATTTTATTAATACTGTTATAATACAATATGCATTGCTATTGCTAAAGTATTATATAATAATTTTGATGCAGAAAAATCTGTGATAACACAATCATTAGAATAATGTAAATTTCTATCAGACTCAAGCTTATTTTATTTCAGCTAAAACTTCACTTATTTAGAGCATTTAATATTTCTGAGTATTTTATACATACAAATAATATACAATATCTAATTTATTCAAGAAAAAATGTTTAATACCTCAATTGACATGTTTCATAATAAAATAGATGAATGCAATGAAACTTTCGATAAGGATCTTATACAAATGGTTGATGGAACAATTAGTACAGCTACACAGGAATTATCGACTGTTAATAAGCAATTACTTAGAAATGAACTTATTCTTCAAGAGGCTGTCTCACAATTACGTAGCGCGTGCTATAAAACAAAAGATGTTTCCAATGCACTACAACAACTCATAGATGGAAATTTTGTATCCTCTGTTAAAAGCTAATTTATGTAAATATATTTTGTTATATAAGATTGTTATTCAAATATGTAATGGACATGAGAATACAATAATAATAATAATAATAATAATAATAATAATAATAATAATAGTAATAATAATAATGGTAATAATAATAGCAATATTACCTTAGTATAATGTGTTAAATGTTAGTCTTAAAAAATCAGTGTTTTTAGAGGACTTGGTGGATGGGACATTATTGAGCATCAATTGTTTTCTTTAATTGGCAGTTCTATTAAATATATTAACTGTTTTCTAATACGTCTTAAAATTTAAGTAAAATATTACTTTGTTCAATATCTCACAAAGAAAAATCATTAGAAATTACATACAGAACAAATTTATAATTACTGACACATTTGGATGCTATTAATTATTAATATGTCTATGTTGATCGTTGCACTTTAAATATCCAAATGACAGTAAATGTAAACATTATTTTGTAGTATACAGATGTTAAGGTATATATCAAAGAATGTCACGATGTTCTGTTTAAAGTGTTTCTGTAAAGAATAAACATAAGCATTAAGTTTGCCTCTTTTAGGATTTAGAGTAAACATCATCATTATATAGATATTAAATGACTAATATCTCTGAATATAAAGTCGGTTTTCTTTGTGTAATTAGTTTAGGTATAATGACAAATATTATATTGATATATCATTTTGCATATGCATAATCTTTTCAGAAACACCTGCACATTTTCTTTTTTTTTCTGCAGTTTTTCTTATCAAATGCATAACTTTGGTATCAAAGAGCTGATATTGATTTTCCTATTACCACGCTAAATTTAGTGTATAATGAATTGATGATTATAATGGGGATGCATTCTTTCTCTATAAATTCAGTCTTAAACATTTCATCAATCTTCGTTGAACTAAAGCTTGGTATAATATATCTACATACAAAAGTTCATAAACCAAACATGTCGTCCCTTTGCTAATACTGATATGACAACATCGTGACGGAATGTTTTCTTTGACATGATATTTCTATATAGCTTTTGTTTATGTAGTACATTCAGATTATTTAATGACTAAATTGCATGTGTTTAACTATGCATGTGTATTTAAGACCTCATTTTGCATTAAAGCAATTCCTTATGTCATATTCTACAAAATAAATAGCACTAGAAAGGTATATTTATACCATAAACCTATAAAAAATTAAAAGATAGAGAAAGAAGTTACTATTAACAAAATATATAGCTATGTATTATTATAGTATTAACTTATAACATGGACAAGCATCAGCTTTCCATGCATTTCTTTTTTGCTAATAAATTTAAATGTTCACATATTTAATAAATACTTGCAAATATTTCAGAAATAAGTTTTGACCACCTGTCAAAAATAGGAACTCATTAGTTCCTATACATGTTTCTTCACCATTGCATTTTTCAAAATGTTGTATAGAACAATTTCGAGATTTTCATTGACAATGCAAATATTCAGTTTTCACGAATAATATGATGGTAGAAGATAGCGCAATTAACTTTTACACTATTAATATGATGGGCTCAATTCCAGAAAAGGATTAAAGTTTGTTGTAGTTGACGACCTTTATAAAATATGCGACGTCGCACTCGGTACATGTTAGCCAATGTGAGGGCGCCCACCCCCCACATGGCCTACGCTCGCTCTATTTCTCCACCACTTGCACACATCTGAAGAACATCCAAAGATCCTTGTGCTTGCCGTTTCTCAGCCAAGAATCTACCTGAAGCTTCTTTTAATTGCTCTAGGAAAATTCTGAAATAATTTTTAAATTATGTAGAGTTATATATTTTATAATATTTTAAACAAATTTTTAAGTATACTTACATATTGCCAGACACTATGTCAGCCACACTATCTGGATCCATATCACTGAGCAATTCTAAATTATGACCATCAAGCAATGATATATGTGATGGATCTCCATGCAATGATGACACTAATGCTTCTATGGGTGGTCGACGCCTTCTGATTTCATCCCTTCTTTGTCCACCTTCTATATTATCTACATCATCAACAACAATATAACGTGAAGCAGCTTTACTGCTTCCTGCTGCCACCCACTTTTGATCTCCATATAGAACCATTAAACTAGTATTTCTTTCTAATGTTGCAAAATATTCTTCATCATCTACCTCCGTTCCTAGTATAAAAGTAATAACAGAAACATAAATTATCAAATCACTTATATATTAATTCATATATAAAATGTATATAACATAGAAGAGTTATCTTACCATCTTGTTCTAGAACAATTGTTAGTTCTGCATCCAAAGGTAAAGATAAGCGATTTCTTGCAATACTAGTTAATTCTTTTAATGACGATGCAGTAATTCCCTTTCGTTTTTCTCTGGCATAATCAACAATTTTATAAGGATTACCCAATCCTTGTGAAATTC